GGAAAGCATCAGATATATATATATATATTTATAAATATTTCTGTATGTTCCGCATACAACACAAAATATGTACATCCATAAGGGATAGTGGTTCTGTGCAGGTATCCTATATTTTATATTCCAATATTCTGGTGAGGTCAGCTTCAAACAGACAAGGATGTTCTGTGTTGAGTGGAATTCAGATGCACCTTTCAGGAATTTGGTGGGGTTTTTTTTGCTTGTTGCACCGCACACATGGCTGGGTAGAATGAAGCTGCCTCTTAGGCATGAGAGTTTTGGATTTCATGGACTACAAATCCCATAATTTCCCTTTGTGATGGACGGACATCTTTCAGACGTTCAAATGCTATTCTCAAAGGCTTTCACGGCCAGGATCCGATGGTGGTTGTAGGTGGGTTTTTTTTGGGGGGGGGGCTGTTTGGCCGTGTTCTGGCTGAACAGCCCGAAAAACCTACGACAGCTCAAATCCTGCTTATCTGGAAGGCTTTGAAGCTTAGCTAGGCCTAGCTCAACCCAAGCTTCCTGTTCCTGCCCCAGTGCTAGCTGGGAGATTTCCTTCCAAACAGGAAGCTAGACCGAACTAGGCCTAGCTAAGCTTCAAAGCCTTCCGAGTTAAAGCCTTTCTCTCAAGTGAGCCACGTTTAGGTTTTTGTCTGTCAGACAGAACTCCCCGGATGGAGAATCATGGGGCATGTAGTCCAATAAATTCAAAATCCCATCCTTACTGCCAGTAGCAGCCAATCAAAATGAACAAGCTGGCAGCCGTTCATGCATGGGCTTTTGATTTCATGCTGGACCATTTCAGGGCACTGATCTACCACAGCAAATTTGTGACTCTCCAGATGGTGTTGGGACCCAGCTCTCAGCCTCTCTTGCCATTTGATGGGCTAGCTAAGCCTGATGGGATTTGCAGTCCCACAACTCATGGAAGGCCACATGAGCCGAAGCCTGCCGTGCATTCTTCTCGCCTAGCACGTCTACATATCTCAGCCCCTGCTTATTCAAAGGTTTAAATCAGCAGATGGCTTGGAAAAGTGACATCTTTATGACTTCCAGAATCCACAAGCAGTGTGGTTGCTGGGCACACTGACTAGGGGACGCTGGGTTCTTGAGCCCGAGCTAAGAATTTCTCCACTTTCTGCCCGGTTGTTCTCTGAAGCACTGGATGGGCCTTCTCAAGGAGAACTGTACAATGATTTGAAGAAGGATCCGTCTGCCCCAACGTCTACCAAGATTGGCGATGTCAAGAGACAATGTGTAGCGAGCGATCCTTCCCCATCACGATTCAGCGTAATTCTCTAATCTGAGCTCCTCTTCCTTGTATTTGTTGATAAGGGGCAAAACAGGGAACCCTCGCCCTCCAAACGTCCTCTGCATGTGTGTGTGTGTTGAACTAAATGCACATGGATAACACAAAGAAATAAACATTTTCCTGTTTTCCTCTTCCACCCACCCCCCTCAGCAAGGCATAAAAAGTCCCCAGTACCGAGGATGCAGAAGGCTGGCCGTCACCAGGAGCAAATGTCAGCAGACTGCAGCCCAGAGAATAATGTTTGGTCTTCCATTTCTGTTTTTTTTCCCCCAAAACAAGTTAACAGCCAGCAGTCCATGTCATTTGCTTGCTTGTTTGCTAAGTCTTGTTCCTCTCCAAGGTTCGAGGGAGAATTTGTCCATTTGTAAAGCAAAAAATTGTGGTTTTTGTCAAATAACTTTTTTTCGAGGTTCATTTCTCTTTCTCTCTTTTGCAAAAAAAAAGGAGGTGGATACCGTCTTGGCTAGAAAAGTTTTCCTCCTCATCTGAAGAGGACTTGAGGAAAGAAAGAAGGGGGGGCTGGACATCTCCCTCTGGGAGCCCCCCCCGAGGAGAGTTTGCGCAGGACGGCCTTCACTTGCACACGTATCTCTCCACCGTCCGCTCGCACTTCTTGCAGGTGACGTAGCAACACCAGTGATACTTGCAGTGGCACCGCTCCACCACCTGGTCCATGTACGGGTTGTACCCGCGGCCGCAGCACATGAGGTCACAACTGTCACTGCCGTTGGAGGTTTTGTTGCATTGCCTGGAATTAGAAATCAATCAATCAATCAATCAATCAATCAATCAATCAATCAATCAATCAATCAATCAATCAATCAAGAAATGGCATGAGCTGAGTTGCCCAGGACCAAGCATCATAGAATCATAGAATAGCGAAGTTGGAAAGGACCTATAAGGCTCAATCAATCAATCAATCAATCAAGAAATGGCATGAGCTGAGTTGCCCAGGACCAAGCATCATAGAATCATAGAATAGCGAAGTTGGAAAGGACCTATAAGGCTACAGAGTCCCACCACCACCACCACAGGCAGGAACCCAAATCAAAGCAGATTGGACAGATATTGTCCAATTTTCTCTTGAATGCCTCCAGCACTGGGGCACTCACCGCCTCCCAAAGTCATGGGTTCCATTGTCATACTGCTCTAACAGTTAGGGAGTTTTTCCTGATATTCAACCTAAATCTGGCTTCCTGCAACATTATGACGCGTCCTGCACTCCGGGATGATCAACAGATCCTGCCCTCCTCTGTATGACAATTTTTCAAACATTTGAAAAGTTCTTATGATGCCTATTTCTTTCAGTCTTTCCTCCGAGGGCTTGGTTTCCAGCTCCCTGATCATCCTTGTTGCCCTCCTTTGAACCTGCACCAATTTGTCAGCATCCTTCTTGATCTAGAACTGTGCACACTCCTTAAGGTGAGGCCGAACCAGGACCGAATAGAGAGGAACTAGTACCTTATGAGCTACTTCTGTTAATGCAGAGACTATCCGAGATGCTCAGTGGCAAAGCCCTTCGCCTTGAGCTCTCCAAAACGAGAAGGAACCCAAATGTCTTCATGCAAGAGCAGGGATTTGAATCCAGGCCACCTGATTCCTCGTGCATCTCTCTATCCACTCCACCACAGTGGCCACCCATATTCTGACCTATGGCAATCCTTTTTTTCCAGGGATTTCTAGATAGAGAGGACTCAGAAGTGGTTCATCATTTCCTTCTTCTGGAGGCAGCTCTGAGACTGTGAAGCTTGCCCAAGGCCACCCAGGCTGGCTCTTCTCCCAGGGAAACACAGGAAGGAATCTAAGCTCCCAACCGGATCTAAACTACCGAGCTATCCAGCCGGCTATAATCATGTGCCAAGCCAATTCTGATTTATGGTGACCCTTTCCAGGGTTTTCCAGGTGGAGAAGACTCAGAAGTGGTTTTCCCCTTCCCTTCTCCTTCTGGGGGCAGTTCTGGGATGGTGCAGCTGGCCCAGGGCTACCCAGGCTGGCTCTTCTCCCATGGAGGCCTGGTGGAGGAATCAAACCCCCAAACTCTGGCTCCACAGCCAGAGACCTAAACCCCACAGCTCTCCAGCCAGTTATCTGATCCCCTGATACAACAGAACTGTGCAGTCCCATTTTACAAGCGAGATTTACTTCTTCACTACAGCCCCTGGGTGGAGGACCCACAAAAACTCGCCCAAGCCCCCCAAAACCCTCTCTTGTCACCACGGCTCACACTTAGCCGTCCTCCAGATCATGAGGTGTCTTCGCCTAGATGTGGTTTCTGGCTGGGATCTTGGGGCAAAAAACCTCAACAGCTGGGTAGAACAACGGACGCATCTTGGAAAGCCATGCCTCTTGGCCCCCTCATCCAAGAGACGGCCTGGCGCTTGGGTTTCATGGAACAAAGCACGAATTTTGCATCTGATCGACCCGGGAGGGACGCGAGGGGATGTCGGGAGAAAATACTGGGGAGTGGAACGATTCCTTCTTGACTGTTCCACAGGCCCACTCCGTTAATGGAGGGGAAATGAATCCAAAGAGATTTATATGAAAATTCCTCATGAGGTAATGCTTTATGAGAAGTTATGGGATTAATGAAGTGCTGAGATCTTGTTCTCGGCCTGTCCTTTTTATTTATTTCTGACTCAGCCTGGCCTCCTGTTTGTTATTTCAGATTTAAGTTGCGATCCAGGTTCAACACCCCACTCCTCTTCAGCCTCTTTCTTAAGCCTAGCCTTCTCATCGCCCACTTTCGGGGGACGTGGATGAGAGAGAGACGGAGGAGGAGGACGCATGTAAATATTTACAGACTTTTGGAAGACTTAACCAAGGCATTCGTCCCGTAATAGCTTTGGGTCCTGGAGCCAACGCCTTTGACTTGCGGCCACATGCTGTGTGTTTGTCTAGCCCTGGACTGAGGGTGTTGTTATGCGCGCGCGCGCACACATATACACACATGCACACACACACACATTTGCGGCCACATGCTGTGTGTTTGTCTAGCGCTGGACTGAGGGTGTTGTTATGTGTGTGCGTGCGCGCGCGCGCACACACACACACACACACACACACACACGGGCAAGACAGAAGAATGGCTTTCAGCAATATAAGGAGGGAAAGAAACCCTCAATGCACATCCCACCTACGCAAGGAGAGCCATGTTTAAAAGCAAAGTTTTGCAAGCTTAAGTAAGTATAGGGGGGGCAGGGGTGGTGGAAAGGTTTAGGAAAGGGCCAAGGACCCCCTGGGATTGCCAGAGATATGCTAAAAAGCAAGAAAGAGGCTATAGCATGCATGTTTGGGATGCAGAAGGTTCAAGCCCTATCATTTTAGGCAGGGCTGGAAAAGAAGCATGTCTGAAGCTGCTGGTCAATGTTGGCCATGCTGGGTTCAATAGGCCAGTGTCTCAATTGTGAGAAGGCAACATCTTATGTTGCTATGTGTGTGACTTTGAGCAGGCTGTCTATGTGGGCTTAACTTTCTCCACTCCTGGTTCACTGCTTCTCCCATGTGCAGACTCCCTGGCCCAGACCATTTTCTCCACAATATTCACCCCCATGTTCCAAGATTGAGCAACCAAGTGATGGAGTTTTTGCAACCTTGCATGCTGACTTTAGTCCCTGGCTGGCAGGGACCTTTCTGGGCTGGGCTGACTGTCAATCAATCCAGCAGTAACCAATTGTTCCTTCCCTGCCTCTGAATTCAAAGAGAGCCCCGCCTCTCAGTGCTCTTTCCTTCTCTTGTGTCTGTTGCCAGTAGTTCGTTGAGGTCTTTTGCTAAAAAGCAGTCGTGTATGTCAGTTTGCCGTTTGATCTGTTCAACCGTAAGTAAAAGAATTGGGTTTTTTTTGTTCTTTCTCTTACAAAAGTCTTGGAGTGAGTTATTGAGTCTGTGCCATCAGAAAAGGAGTGGACCACTCTGGGGAACCTGAAACTCATCTGCTTCGCGAATCCCAGCACTTCTGCTATGCTGCTCGAGGAATTTAAATTAAAAAAATTCCAAAACTCTGCAGCATCAAGAAAGGAGTGGAGGGAGGCATGTGTTTTTGCCCTTTATGTTCCAGAGTCCGAGACGGGACTCTTTGCCACGATGACTGGGACTTGAGGGAGGTGTAGCGCACCCCCAAGTAACTTTTTTACACTCTTTCGCTTGCTAACTGTGCCATGAAGTTCCTCTTTTTTCCTTCATAATACAAATAAAGAAGGGACTGAAATGCCAGTGGGAGGAAAATGGCTGAAAAAAATACATTTCCCTGGAATAGTTCAGAGCACCCGCTCCCCATCTTCCCTCAATTTCAACACCATTCTAGGCTCCCGGGACAGCTAGTTGCAATTTGGAACAGCTTTGACCTCCTGCCCCTTTGAGAGGGGTTTCTATCCTCCCCCCAAAAACAACTTAATTGCTTAAGGCTGCACGCGTGGCAACAGTTTCCTGGTAATGAGAATGCTGAACACCGTGGAATTCCTTTGGAGTAAACACGAGAAACTGTGCAAGGGATCAAGACGTGAATCGTCACTGTTATTGTCACAGCACTATGGAGCTGGAAAGGGACTCTATGGATCATCCAGTCCAGCTTTGGTCAAGGAGGCAGCGTGAGGAATCGAACTCCCAACCTCTGGCACCATCGCCAGAGTCCTAAACCCCTGAGAGATCCAGCAGTTCTCTAATAAGCATCGTAGAAATGCAGAGCTGGAAGGGACCCTGTGGGTCATCTAGTCCATCCCCTGTCAAGGATTGCCCAGTGGGGGAACCGAACTCCCAACCTCTGGCTCCACAGCTGGGTGCCTGAAACCACTGAGCTATCCAGCAGCTCCTATGGCTACCATTCACACAATTTCAGCTTTTGAATTGTGTGTGTGTGTGTGCGTGTGTGTGTCCTGCTATGTTAAACAACTCCCAAAATAGACATTGTAGGAGAAAAAAAATAAAAAGTTCTATTGCTTACAGTTGTGATCAGATCAACAGCACGCTAATGAACAGACAGACTGCTTCCAATAGACTTCAAAAGAGAGAGAAACCGTCAGCAGAGAGGTGTCATTCTCTTCATGCCCAGTGGGGGAACCGAACTCCCAACCTGTGGCTCCACAAATTCAGAAGCAGGAGGGAATCATCAGTTAGTGCTGGATAGCTTAACCGTCTGTCCATTCTTGTGTGTGTGTGTGCGTGTGTGTGTCCTGCTATGTTAAACAACTCCCAAAATAGACATTGTAGGAGAAAAAAAATAAAAAGTTCTATTGCTTACAGTTGTGATCAGATCAACAGCACGCTAATGAACAGACAGACTGCTTCCAATAGACTTCAAAAGAGAGAGAAACCGTCAGCAGAGAGGTGTCATTCTCTTCAAATTCAGAAGAAGGAACGAACCGTCAGTCAGTGCCGGATAGCTTAACCGTCTGTCAATTCCGGGAATGTCCCTCCCAACAAAACAAACAACAAGCAGCATGGAAGGTTGTAAAAACCTCCAACAGCTTAAAGGATAGCATTTCATGTTCTCTGGCTGTCTGAATTGGAAAAGAAGTGGTTTCATGCTTTCTGTTGAAGAATTTTCTTACTGCTATTTTTCCCCTCCCTCTTTTCTTTTCCCTTTCCATCAGCTGCATTTTTGTGTGGCATCATTTATTTCTTACATTAAACCACTGGTGAATATTCTAGGCCTAAGCTGCGGATGGTGGGGGTAAATGAAGCAAATTATCTTGTTTCATATACTGTGTCTTGGAAATAATTTGTTAAATACTGTATCTATATGTTGGCCTAATT